TTTCGCCATGATCACTCAAAAAGGACGGACCCCATCTTGGTTTGTGGAGAAGAAGAGCGCAAGAGGTGCCGGACCAACTGTTGTACAGACTTACATACCAGCAGGTATATAGAAGAAAAACATTCATTTATTAGCCTGGAGTACAGTCTTTTAAAAGCGACATTATGTAAGATTTTCACTATGTTAAACTTTGTTGTTTTACACATTTTCTTGCGCTATAAGCCTGCCTGGGTCCATAATGACATTTGGAGAGTAAAAGATCAACGTCGTTGCGCCGCACAAACGTTTTGGAAAACTGTCAACTCATCTGCTCTAGCGCGGCTCATGGTCATGTTGTCATCAAGTTACTAACAGAGGTGTTTCTTCTATTTCCACACAGTAAAAAGTTTCACCGTGTGGGCACGGTCGTTTGCACATGAAGATCCCGGTTTTGCAAACCTTGACCCGTATAGCAGAACGTACATCAGCATCAACGGACAAGCAAGCAGTATGTATTGAATTTCTTTATAAACATTGCTTTAAGACATTGTTCTGTAAGTTTTGTTTCTAACGATAGCCCAACACGCGTCGGTATAAAAAAAATAACGCGTTTGCTTCGTTTAAATGTTCTTCAATTGTAACTGTTATTTCATTTTATAACATATTTATTGCCCAGTTGCGAGGGCTAGCCTCTTGCTAATTGGTCAGTCCTGGCTGCATACTGATACAGTCAAATAAATGAAATCTGCTAAAGTTGCATTTGGATAGTTCAATCTTAATTAAAAGGCAACAACAGTTTACAAGGTTTAGATACAATCAATTCTAAAAAAAACAAGACGTCAGTCCTATATCCCGTTTATGAAACTTAGCATAAAAATTAAATACTGTGTTGAATTATAAGAAAATATATTAGAAGATCATCAGCAATTCTGGCCGTTTGTTTTCATTACAGAGTTGGAAAACGGCCCTCTTCGTGGGCATCAAGTGTATATTCTGAACGAGCAGAATGGGGAAGTTCTTGATAAGGCTGTGTTCGACACCTGGTACTATGGAGGAGGTAGAGCAGCAGCACAGAGACTTACAACCTATCTGCAGGAAGTCGAAGAGGTGTGTGTAACAACAAAGCGACTTAGTTTGGTGTACTGGCTAATGACCCCCCCCCCCCCCACCAACGAGGGTTTAATATGCCTCGATATTGTGTTGGCAATAGCACATGTACATTTTTTAATGCTGACTTCACTCAGATGTAAATATGCACCTATCTCTCAATTTGTTTAAAATGTCCGTTCTAAAATGCAAGTTGCTCTGTAATACCTGTGATAGTAAACATGTATTAATATTTTTGTTTTATTTTGCTGCAGGGGCGGATCATCGTTATCGCTGTCTTTGATACCGTTGGTTCACGTGCACCTGGATCCACCATTCAAATAGGTAATATTTCAATAGGTAATAATGTTTAAATCCTATAGCATGACACAAAGTAAGAATGCACATATGTTTTGTTCTGTATTGCTTATTGAGCTAGTTGGGCAGCCCTGGCTGTATATCTCTTCATACAGTTTAATAAATCAAATCAAATTTCATAATAGGCCATAGAGAATCTTTCGCCATGATCACTCAAAAAGGACGGACCCCAACTTGGTTTGTGGAGAAGAAGAGCGCAAGAGGTGCCGGACCTACTGTTGTCGAGGCTTACATACAAGTACTGTAGCTAACGAGAAGTAACCAGCAGGTAAAAGAAAAACATTCATTTATTAGTCTGGAGTCCAGACTATTTAGGCCCCTGTCATACATTGCCGAATATGGCCCCCTGAACACTAGCAGAATTCCCGCAACCATGGATATAGAATCAGGAAGATTAAAAAAATCCCCCACGACCAGAGGTTTTGTCCATTGCCACCTAATAAGATTAAAGACGAACACCATTTTATTATGGATTGTCCACTAACGTTATATAATGACAAAAGCACAAAGCTGTTCAAGCTTCTTTCTGCTTGTTCCAGGAAATTTGTTACATTTCATACTATATAGATAAATTCACTTTCATTCTAGAAGGTAATAACCCTTACTGTGTACAAATAGGTAAATATATCAAAGAATGTTAAGCTCTTAGAGGAAGTAGGTTAATTGATTAAAAATGTATGCAGTTTGAAAAAAATCACTTTCTTACGGTTACTATGCACCCTGGATGAGTATAATCCAACGCATACTAGTACATATAGTGCTCGAAATTCTACAGTAACGTTTACATTCATTTTCTAACTAAAATAATTACACAGAAACACAAAACATATGTAACAAAAACTGTCATTGGTTGAAAACTTTATCATTTTCAGTCATTATCATGAGTTGTTATGTATTTCATGTAAGATTTTTGCATGTTGTAGCCTACTGGTGTAGTACTGTGCAATTACTGGATTGTTGCTCTTGTGATGTCAAAATTGTGCGGACATTTGTGGTTGAAGCTGTGTATATTCCTACTAATTAAAGTATCTTCTTCCATTAGAAGAACAGTTATAGAGCGATTCTACGTTGTTTATTATTTACTTCATATTTCGTTCCATTTCCCCCTTATACGGTTATTTTTGCTCATTTTTATTTTCTTTTCAAGCTCCTTTGCGTTTCTTGGGTTTGCCATTTTTCGTTCCCGTTTTGTTGTTACCACTTGGTTTCGTTTTCCCTTGCACTTTCTCCACACTCATCTTCACTCATCGTCATCTTCATGGAGGTTTTCCACCGGGGATGATTCTGGCATGGCAGATAAAAAAAACTATAAACATGCAGCTTTGAAACATGTAGCATATAACTTGAAATAACAATGTAAGGTGCTGACATAAATGTAATACCTGTGTCAAGCCCCTGTCACACATCAAAACCTAAGTCCCCTGATCACCAACCAATCAAAGTTGGCTGAAGTTAAGGAGCAGTCTGGTCCACCTTTCTATGCGAATCAAATCGAATTTGAGTTAAACGTTGGTCAAATTTGATCCGTGAACACGCCCGAAACATTGCCGACGTGAAATGTTTCGTCATATATGTGTTGACTTGCAATGTTTTGAAAAAACAGTAGGAAGAATGGTGAAGAGAATCTTTTTTAAAAGAACGTACAGACACACACGCACACACGAAACACACACATGAAAACACACACACTTAACACACACACTTAACACACACACTTAACACACACACACACACGAACACGAAACACACACACACAAGAAGACACAAAACAAACACACACACACACACACACACACACACACACACACACGAAGTACACGTAAATTCAATAACCATTAAATACAGACCTGTGTTCCAGTAGTCGACACAGTCCGCACAGTCACAGTAATCTGCCGTGTTCCCACACCAGTTGTATGGAGAGCAGCATGCAGCAGGGTCACACTCAGCGGGCCTCCCATCTTCTGTAAGAAAACCCTCTCCACAGCGGCCATCATCGCGCCATTTCTTTGTAACTATTAGGAAAAAAAGACAACAGTTTTACGACCTCTTACCTTTGCCAAATTCTCTACCCAATCATGACGAGTTGTCCAAAATTTGACAGTCTTATCTTAAGAAAGAAGGTTGTCGTGGCATTTTCTTCAATTTTACGGAAATAAGGCCCTGATTTGCAATTGCATGATTCAGATCATGAGGTATCAAAAGTTTCATAACAAATGCATATTATTTAAGTTCTGCTGTTCACAAGCAAACAAACAAGTAAACAAGCAAACAGACAGACAGACGGACAAACGCTACTGGAAACATAACCTTTTTGGCGAAGGTAATAAACGTAACATCAAAATCGGATCTTACCGCTACAGAACGGCACGGCACACAGCTCCCATCTGCTGCCGGGATCCGTGGTGTAGCACCAAACTCCGGGTTCCTCGTCAGGATTCCGGCAGTAGTTCTGCTCCAGTCCTGCTGAAGGATAGTTAGCGGGTGTCCTGTCGTGTTCATGGGGCGTCTGACTGTCCCAACGCTGACACGCCCTGCCTGTTGCGGTCACAGAGACTGTTCCACGGTAGGATGCTCCATTGCCCACCTGGCATGACTCTGGCAGATGTAAAACGAAAGAGACGGCTATGCATAATTATTAAACTCGAAATAACAACGTAAGGGACAAGTGCCTATGCCAGCGTCCTTAACTTAAACTGTCAAGCGAACGGTTGCTTTTGAACAAGTGCTATCTAGTGTTATACGTACGTACATTCAAGGTACGTATTTGATACATCATTTTGCGCACGGGGCCAAGGGCCCAGGTAAGGTAAGGTAATCCCTATGGGGTCAACGATGGCCACCAAGTTTTTTTTTTACATCATTTTTGGTCTATATGTAAGGATGCTGAGATATGGGAATTAGACTGGGAAAAATGCTAACTTTTCTATGTGACGTTGGTGTCTTTTGTGTTCAGTTAACAAATGGTGAGGAAATGAGAAACAAAAAGCACATATAGGAGGAAGTTGTTTATTTGTTTGCTCACCAGTCCGTTTCTCACAGATGTATCCCTGCATTTTTGTGCACTGATGGTCATTCCAACCCCCATGAGACCCGATTTCAGCACAATCCTCATCGCCCATGTTGTTTGGCTCATTTGAGTTCCAGTTGCTACAACACAGGATAAAACACGAATTTTAGTACTAGTATTTTACACCTCCGTTAATTGTGTGTGTGTAGATTAATTAATTAAAGGTCAATTTTGGAACTCGAAAGTCCCATAGGCCTGTTTTGGGCTACATCAAAATCACTAGTCACATGCAAGGTATCCGCCCTCATGAGCTCAGGATATGGCCCTATTAAGTGCCTAAAAACCACGTAATCTTATCTTTCAAATAGCTCTGTTAGCATTTAATTTAACATTTTAATGTCTTGAGGTGGTGGGACTACGGCGCACAGATATGTCAACTTTGTATAGTTACATATTAATTATACCTTTTTTGTTGTGTGGCGCTGAACATTAATATAAGTTGTTAACTTGAGTGCAGCGCCACACTGTCCTTGTTATGTTTCTATGTTTTGATGAATAAAAAAAAGTGCCTAAAAGTTGACAGGAACTTACGTGACTGCAGGGTCATAACCCGTACCGTCCGCCCACTGCCAGGCGTCTTCAGCCACGATGTCAGACAGACCGAACCAGTAGGTGGCATCGACCTGTGTTCCCATATAGGTCTGCAACGGAACAAAAAGAAGCCAAGGTCACTATTGTATCCATAACCGTGCTTTATATTCAGAACCATGATCAGGAACAGTTCTGGATAGTTCGTTCATATTGGGAACC